ATATGAATTGAGCTGTAATTCACGCGAAATCTATTTTGGAAAATAAATTCGGATTGCATCGGAACGTCGCGTCGGTCGAGTCTAAAGACGCTGCTCTTCGCGTGTCACGTGCGCTCGCCGTATCGAGAGACGGCGGTGGGCTATATTTATATGCCTGTGGGTCGCGTCGTACGTGGCGACGATGACTCGTCGAAACGCTCCAAATATACGGGAACGAACGGGAACGTCGACGGATAGGAGGACGAATGGATGAGAGAAAGGTCTCTCTCTCTCTCTCTCTCTGTTTCTCACACATACGAGAAGAGGGTTAGAGAGACGGGGTCGGTCGGCTGGAGGCAGCACGAGACAAGCATACGAAGGGAGGGATGACAAATGGCGAGCGGGAACGCGAGAGGCGAGGATAAGCGATGGGAGGACGGACGCTCCGCGACGGAGAAACGAAATCGGTTCAATAAATGCAGCGCGCGCGGCCGTCGGCACCGCGCTTCGGTCGTCGACGATGACGGAGGCGGCGGCGGCAGGAAGAGGGCGAAGAGGCTGGGCGCGCGGAAAGTCCGTCTGTGCGAGAGAGAACGCGAGAGAAACGGAGTGTGTGTCACCGCGATCCGCGGGCACCCGGCACCGAGCGCGAGCGCGACGGAGAGACAACAAACCCACGCCTGCGCCACGTGGAGCGAGCGTAGTATAGTAGCGGCAGCTGGACGAGAGGGAACGGGGACGAGAGATCCGGGACGAGACGCGCGACGAGAGTGGGGAGGGGGATCGATTGATAATCTAGACTAGAAAGTATCCAAGTTGAAAGTTGGATGTTTTGTGTCCAAAGTCGAAATTTCAATAGGCGAGAAGGGGAGAATATACTTTTTTTTTCCCCCCTCGCGGTAACTGCGTCACTCCTTACGTAGAGTCGACCCTGATGAAACAGAGAACGCGTATGATGCTCGGCGATGCGTGGCGGCGGGAGCCGAGAGGGGAGGACGGTCGCTCCCGCCGGTCGATAGCTTCTGATCGAGCGCGGGAAGGAATCCGGATGGCTCGGAAAGAGAAAGAGAGAGACGGAGTGATAACAATGCAACGTGCTCCAACGCGATCGCTAATACGCTGCCTATCTGCTGCCGTTACCACTGACAATACGTTGACGTCTCGTCAAACGTCGTATTATCCGTGCGGATTATATTTCTGTTCGTTACGCGACGATATCGCGATTGATTTTCACGCGACGCAATCTTATCAACAATAAATAATACTATATTACATTAATTGGCTTCGATTGATCACACATGATTTTTTTCATGTGATTTGTTTTACATCGCGATTTTTTCATCGATCGTTCGATCCGCGATTTATACGGAAGGAATTACGGCTCTCTCTTATAGAAAGACTCTTGCACGATTTTCGCGCTTGTGATTATTCATGGGCTCAAGCGACCTTGACAGGAAAAGATGAACGATAACAGCAATTAGTTATGCGCGTGTTGGCCGGCGGCTTTCACGTTAACTAATGCTAATGAATGCGGAAGGCAGGAACTGTCCGTACGGATTGAACTTATTACTCACAACGTAAATCATTCCGCGAAGAAATGCTTCACATTTGCAATATGCAGCGATACGTGTGCCATTTTATCTCAATTCATTTTCAATAAATAGAAATTTCGTAATGATCATTATGTTTATGGAATAATTTGTTTATCGTATAATTCTAAACAAAAGATTCATATATATCTGAATTAATAAAGCAATAATTCAAAGGAAAATGTGATCATTCTTTTGTAACGTGAGAGTGATCGCGATAGACACAACGATAATTTTGACAACGCCTATTTTTATCGACTCGGAGGAGTATGATTCTCAATTAACTAAACGGTGCCACGCCTGCAAATGTCGGCTAGGTGAACGGGGACAGTGGGGGATGAGGGAAAGGGCTGGACAGCAAGGAGAAAGGGCGGTGGAAAGGGATGAATGAGAGACAGAGAGAAAGGGAAGAGATGGGTGAGAAAGACCGGATGATAACAGAAGAGGCATCGACCGCTCGGGTACGTTGCCCGGACAACACAACGAACGTCGACTTTAGCCGAATTATTTGTTAAGCCGCGCTCACACGAAATGCGTCGTTTATCAGTATTGGATGAGAGAGAGTTACATCGGTTTATCCCGGAATTAGCGCTGCGCAAATATGCCGCAAACCTAGGACAATCGGATCGTTTAAATGAAATCCCAGGATACCATTGAATTCCCAGTATTTAGTTACTAATTGAGCAAACGTCAATTCAGATTTTTGGAGACAATTTCAGGATTATGCACTCTTACATTTAATTCGACGAAACTTTTAAATGTCAAACAATTACCTGTAATTACCGACATTTAAACGATCGTTATTCATTTCATTCTAATTTTAATTGCCTTTCCAAATTCATTTGACGAAAAATATTTTTCAAAAATCTAATATCTAATATCGTGTAACACAAAGTAGAACGAGATGAATATGATTGATCCGCGCGACACAAGTGGACGTGGAAGAAACGTCTTTACTGCGAAACGTGAATACTGCGCTAAGTGGGGCTTTTATGTACACTTGGTAATTAAATTAAACGTAGTTACGGGCACGTAACGGCCAGACGGGGCTTCGAAACAGGGATGCGTTCTCTATGCACGTTACTGGAATGAAACCCATCCCCCCCCCCCCAGCTATATGTTTCAAATGACACGCAACGACAATCATACTCGGTAGTTCCCTCTTCACGCATATTCTCCCTTGCCTGGCGTTTCTACGAGAGATCGGTTGGGTAAGGTCCGGCATGCTTTTCAAGCCACGCGGTCGCTTCTGAACCGAGGGTTGTTCACCCCTATCCCGATCGAATTTTAGGGCTTGGCAGGATTGCGAAATAATATATGGCTACGCGAGAATCAAGTTTCCGCGCAGCAACTGGAAATGATATTAACGAAAATATATATATATATGTATATATATATATATATATATATATATATATATATATATAAATGAGTTACTTCAAGATGTACATTATCTAGAATTTTCAAATTTATTTTTAATTAATAGAACAAATTGATTTGATTCTTCTAATATTTGTTCTATTTAGAATTGATTTTGAAAACATGTCGTTGCAACGAAGTATAATATAATTGTGCAGATCACTGTCTTCCTGTTAGAATAAGCCGAATTTTCCGTAAATTGTTTTCCGCGAGTTAATGGGCAGAATGCGAAACATCCGGTGAACGGTCGAGAGTTTAAGAGACCCACACGCAGTATCGTGGAGAATGCGAAAGAATAGCCATGCAAAAATGTCGTGCTAACGGTGCGCCATTAATCAGCGGAAACCACAGGCGCGTGCGGCATCGCGCGTCTAGCCACGCGCAATTAAGGTAAACACGTGGCGGAAATTAATTAATCGATGATGCGCGATGCTATGCGTGGCGAACGACGTCATTTGTTGCCGCGACCCGGTCGTCGCCGTCGCCACCCCGAGAACGTCGGGGCGGCGTGAACGAGCGCGAGGATGTGATGAACGGAGCGTCCGACGGACGCATTTTTTCAGGGTGACGTTGACACACGATTATTACGAAAAACAGTAAATGTGCGTTATCATTATGTGCGTGCCCTGCTCTCCGATAAAAAGCGAGCCGTTGAAATCTGTGCTTGAGTACTCGAGATTGCGTGTCGCGGTTTATGTCGCGGTGCGATCTGCCTACCTGCCTGCCGGACTCCCTGACCTTTCCCGAGCGCGTAGAGACGATATCGAGGAATCTTGCCATTGGACTCTACGTCGAGAGTTCCGAGATATCCGATATAGGGAAATGTGTACTTCCCACGATATTGCGCAAATCCGCGCGGCGCTTTATCTAATCTCTATATACGCGTGCTTTTTCATTCAACCGTTTATTTCGCTGAAGTGCTGGAATCTACTACGGCGATCGAACGCATTCCCGACACGTCTCTCTCTCTCTCTCTCTCTCTCTCTCTCTCTCTCTCTCTCTCTCTCTCTCTCTCTCTCTCTCTCTCTCTCTCTCTCTCTTCCTGTCCGCAACGGAAATATATCGGACCGCGTCCGTATATCGCCTTCTGTAAAATGTAATGGGTGTGTCGCACGCGAAAAAAAAACAACCGAGGGAACGCAGCGTGCATGCACTTCATCACGCTTGTGTCAATAACGCGGCGATAACAGCTGGCGTCAGTAACAACACCGCGAAGCGCGGAATTTATTTGCAGCGTTTCACGTTAACCTCCACGAAGCTGAAGGTTGTCCAAACAAAGTCTCAAATTATTCGCGCAAAGTCTTCTGCTTCCTCTCACCGCTTATCAGATATCGCGCTTGATTGAGATCTCTATATCCCTCGCTCGCGACTATACGTGAGTTTCACCGCGCTTCCGTTTATCCATCGATCTGCTGCTCAGCCTGTAATTAATTTTTCCGCAGCGAAAGTTTGACACCTGTGTAACTTGTCTTTGAATTAAGAGATAATTAAAAGAAATTATTACTTAAAATTAATGAAAGAATATTTGATTTCAATACGTGATCGGTATTAATCTTGTCTCGTTATTATTCAATATTCATTTATTTTCCGTACTCGCAGGTTAAACGTCTCAAACTAAAACTTTGCTAAACTGGAATCTGTTCGACGTTAAAGAGCATCATTTTTTTTATCCATATGCAACTGATACAAATCCGATTCGTCAAGATTCGTGTAATCTTCAATCGTTAATTTAAACGCGAATGTCATATTCACATTTGTGTCAAAAGAGAGAAGTTCACAGAAATGCGCATCATCGGTATAATTTCGAAGAAAATGAGGAAAAGCGCTGCAGCTATTGAAATCGAATCGCGTCAAAAGTCGCCCCGGCCCAATTTCACTTTACCGTTTCCGATCGTGCGAGAATCCACCAGGCTGAAGTGATTTCGTTCTAGTATCACTGAAGATCGCGCACGACCGAACTCATCGACGTGATTAACGTTTATGACTGACTGACAGTCGAAACACATAACTCACGCTGTATGCGCGCTCACGGCCGTTCACTCAACCGACGCTCCTCGAAGGAAGTATCGACGAAATAACATCGAAGCCGAAGGCCGTTCACGATACACATTCTGACGAACACGCTCCGACTGACGCAACGATCGAGATATCGCGGACTGTGACGCGTTTACTACGCATTTAATTTTGGCTCGTGATTATGTTAGCCCGAAGATTTACTCGTTATTGACAATTCTCAGAAAAAAAACAATGTCGTTATAACGGCATCGAAGACAAAGCGCGCGAAAAAAAAGCGGAATCAGAGTACACAAGATAACTCTATAAATTTATGAGAGTCCGATTTATGAGAGTCCGCGACAATTGAAAAAATCAAGGGCCAAAAAGAAAAGACCACTAAAATTAGAAGATGTTAAGTCAGTCTTTTCCTCTCTAAAAGAGGAATTGATGCACGGAATTGAGATCATCCCAGAATTTATATCGCAACGTCGTCGACGAAACGTATTAAAAAATTGAAAAGCTGCGCTGCACTAAAATAACAGATCCATGGTTACATCAGAGTCGCATGAATCGGAGAACGAAACTGCGAAGATATACACACGAACAAACCGGCACACGTCTGTTTGAGTTTCACACCATGCGCACACGCGTGACGTTAAAAAATGGACTCGGTAATTGTTTGCCGCCAGGTACCTTTGAATTCCAAATGCCGTGGCGACTCTATTCATATTTTAATGAATAGAATGAACTCATGTGACGTCAAAAATGCTCGTTGCTATTCTTGAAATACTACAGAGAGCAGACCGTACCGTGAATCGATTTACCTAATCGTGCCAAAGATACACGGGATGAAGTTAGAGAAGTTTAGCTCAACAAAACAGAAATATCGGTGACTCACGCGATCGCGTATGTTTCAAATTCGTACCGATTACGAGTCGTAACATGATATCGGAAGTCCTCAAGACTCGTGATTTCGTAAGACTGGGGAGCGAAGCTTGACACGTTCAATCATTTCCCGCGAAAGTACGTTTTATTATCGCGCAATAAAAATTATCGCGCTGTTAAGTCTATCCCGGTTTCGCGATAATCGGCCGCGGTGGCAGTCGTAAAAAACAAAAAACGATCGTTCAACTGGAAACGCCAGGTGTTCCAAATTTTCGCTGAACCCTCGCTCGTAGAAAGAAGTTCGCGAACCTCGTGATCCTCGGTGCCTTTACTTGTTGCACGACGGGTACAACGATGATCGATGATCTTCCTCCCGTATCGTTTGATAGCCGCAAACCGCAGACATGTGGTGCTTACCAGCGAGAGCACCACGTTCACCATCTCTTTCTCTCCCGAGGTATCTGATATCGATATTTCTAATAATACCACTTCCTCCCCATGAGCTTTCGCTCTGCATCTCCGCGATATCGTGGGTACCATCACGCCGCGCGTTTTAATCGAATCAAAAAGCTTCAGTATTTTATACATAACTTCTTCTCAATTGTAATTTACCGTTCTATTAATAAGAAGTCTTAAATGCTGACTCAAATATTTTGAAAATTTCACAATGATCTGAAACAAACTAATTTGCTTTCGATCATCGTTCACTGTTTCTTGCGAATTCGTTCGCTTGCGTACGTGTATGTAAATTCATCTATTTACCTCGAAACACGAGCGACCAAAACAAAAAAAATTAAAGAACCGAAATAATTTTTGCAAACGATTGTATCTGTCGTCTCTCAGCTGACTCGCTCGTCTCGTGTTGTCGCGTTATCGCGCGCGTTCTGTAAATTTCGCATTTCATAAATGACGAGCTCGAGAGGGATGTGACGGACGAGAACGAAGGGCAAAGTGAAAGGGAGAGACTGCTTCAGGAGACGACGAAACGAAACGGAATGAAACGAGACGAGACGAAGGATCCCGGGAGATGGATTTATGATTAATGCCGCTAGACGGCCGGGTAGTAAAAAGCGTTCGGCCGCCGCGAAAGTAAAGAGCCGTAAAACCTAATGAGATGAGTTCCATCGGGATCTCCGAGGGAGACTGCTTTCTGCGCATGAAACCCTCTCGGCACCAATATTGGCTGCGTGCCGGTCTTATACAAGGTGTTTGGAAGCAATCGCATTTCAACGGGACGATATTTCTCTCGTCGAAAACTGAGATGATTTTATCAGAGATATTTTTTTTTTCATTTTACATAAAATGCAACAACTTTCTTTTTTCTTCGACAGGATTTTATTACGTCATTGTTACGATTGTTATTCAGCTGGATATTATTTTCTACATGTGTGATTTCGGAAATTTTAATATTAAATTAACTTCTGTGTTTCGAATAAAATCTAGCGTATCGATAGTTAAGATCCGCTCGCTCATTTCAACGGATCTTCTATCGATTCTGTCCGTTCGAACTGACAGTTTTTTCAACACCTTGTATAACGGCGAAAGCGAACGCGGACGTAATCGGTGCGGCGCCGATTAGGCCAGACGAAATTGCCTCTGCAAAACGACGGCGGCGGGTACCTTCGACACCGTACCTCACGATTTCTCGTTCACCGTTCCTTTGTTGTCGCTTACGTGACGGGTACGGTGGCCTTGAAGTGTAACGTGAGGACGTGAAAAGTTGTAATCGCGTCGGCGAAGATAATGACAAACACCGTCGCAATTGTGTACGAGCGGTGCGCGTCCGTCGAAGAAAAATATTTTTGCGTTCATTTCATTCTATGAAACGATTACGCGGAACTCATTTCTTAATCATTTATGATAATATAAACGCGGCATGAAAAAAAAAAGGGAACACAAGTTTTTAACTAGGTGCTTAAATTGACGATTAATCTCAACGCGCATTTGCGTGTTGCCCGTGGCGGCTTTTTGAAGAATTTTAAAAAATATTCCGTCGCGAAAGCGAGTTTTCTTCATCGAGAAGATTGAGACGCGCTTAAATTAAAGGACGTCCTCGCGCACCCCGTCGTTACGGACGCACCCGGTGCATAATTGACTCGCAATTTATGTCCCGGGCGACCGTATGTGGGTGGCCGTGCGACGACCGTATCGCTCGTTTCTCCTTTTCCTCTGCCTCCTTCCGCCTGCTCGGTTTGTTTGTTCGCGTTTGTCGGCGAGGTGGTCCCCGCGTGAAACAGTACCGGGCGCATATACACGCATCGCGCCACGCAACACAACCTCGATCCTCTATCTGTGGTTAGTGATAGATCGCGCGCCGCTGGTTCCGCAATGACGCACGTGGACTATATTGTGTTGTCGTGCCGAATTCTGCCGATTTGCTGGGAATCTTTGCCAATTAACACGACACGCGAAGTGTCGAGACGTGACGAAGAGTACGGGGGTCAGCATGGGGATCTCCTCGCGTGTCAGCTATGGCGTCGTATCTTCGCGAGACAAGAGCCGTGTATACTCCGCATTGGAAATTTAAATGACTCAAATATGAAAATTTTTACTCGAATGCCAAAAGGTGTGTCATGTATAGCGTTTAGAAGACTCTGATGGTTTGTTAGCATTAACTGTAAAGACGCATATGTCATGCGACGAAGGAGGGAGTCGACTTTTCGGCACGGTCGTTCACTCTCGTCCGCTTCCTTGCCTTTCTTGTCGCGTCCGCGCGCAAACTGCGCCGTAAACAAACCCAAGTGCATTTACCTCGATCGCTGTATGCCAGCTCCCGGAGACGCGCTCTGTTCGATTTTCTTTTTCTTTTTATTTTTTTTTTATTTTTTTTTTTATTTTGTTTCTTGCCGTTCCTCTCGGGAGGCTAAATCGATCGAGACGCTTAATGATGCGTCGCTCGTGTATATCGAACGGGTCTCTTTCACTGATTGCGAGACCCACTTTCTCCGGAAAGCCACGCATACCTCGTTATGTACTACGTGCAAACTGCAATAAGCGTAAATACTTGGAATTACTGAGTCAAGTTGAATTAATCAACGTACGCGACTAACTCGAGCCATTTGCGAGATCGACGCGATTAAATTTTATCGGCGTGTGAGCGTAACCGTACGACGCACGGTCATGATCGATGATGACAGTGATAACCTGTGATACGACGTGAGTAACGATGGAGATATGATCGAATATCAAAATGACAATAATGCCGTTCTTTATAATTCTATTCTCTGTCACATTGATACGAACAATCAATGATATACGTAATTATCTAGTAGAATAATAAAGATATGCCTATTTAGCGCGTCTATTTATACCCATGTGTTCATTGATGCTTTAATTCTTATCTTATCAATCTGTGATTTCTATTGCCCCTACTATCTTTATTGCTCTATATTACCTATTGCGCATTTTCAAATGCAGCCTACTAGAATCTAAAGCTAATTTTTTCCTCGGAATGCAAAAACCACATGCTCATGTGTCGACATGCACAAGTCCATGTTAAAAATATAAAAATTTTAACGTCAAATTTTCAAAATATTGTATGAAGAAGTATAGTTATATAAATGTATATATGAGATATATAAAAGATATATTAATATAATTAGCATATAATTCAATCTTGGTACAAACCTCTCTTAAAATTAATTTATTTATATATACAAGATGTACAATAATACTTTTTAGAATGTAAAAATCGATTAAGAAAGATTATATTTTAGATAAGAGAAACGTAGAAAATCTGATAAAAATAGATAACTTTAGACAATTGAAAGATTCGCTCGTAAGTAAGCTTAGAAATATAATAATAGAATATAACACAGACAGCATATACACTGATAATGACCAAAAACGGTAGATGTTTTTTGTTAGAAATGATAGATATTGATATGTATGAAGCCCATTCTTATCGCATCGTGCAGGATATGTATAGTATAAATCAAAATAATCTGCTCGTGCACACATTGCAATTTTAGCGAGCCTATATACGTAACCAGAACTTTGCAACACGCATGAATTACAAATTCAAGCATACGTGCCGGTAAGCGTGACTTACCGCCCCTTGCTGATTTAAGCAAGGATTAAATGTCACCGTTCAGGGGAACTATTGTGATCGTCCTTACGCTATTCACGTTCCCGCAAAACGGCGGCAGAGTTTACACCTCTTTCGAAGAAGCCTGTTATTAGCGCCAAAGCGAAAAATACACGATATAGTTCACTAACATTATTGGAAAACGGATTACCGTATCGGTCGTACGGGAGTTCGAGGGTATCTAAAAGTTTAACGTGTAGATAATATGAGCGCAAATACGAAATGGGATTGGGGGTGGGGTGGGGTGGGGTGGGGGGGTAGGGAGTCGCATAAAAAAAGTACGTCTTACCTCGGATCGACAATATACTCATATCCAAAGCTACACTGCAAACATATAAATGAGATGGTCAAAGAGAGAATGGATTAATGGTAGAAAACAAACCTTGATCGCAACAACGCTCGACATGTAAGAGACATTGATTAGTAAAACATTAATTATAGATGCATTCGGAGGAACATCCGTCGCGAATTTAAGTGAGAATTCTGGCACCGCTTCCCAGTTGTTTGTAAGCAAAGTCTATATAAAGTCAGAGATAAAACGGGAGCTTATCGTTTCAAGCATTGTTATAACAGCGTCAAAAAATAAGAGCTTATCAAGGCTCGTTAAAGCTGCTGATAGTTCCCCGGCGTGTTTCGACCAGCGTGAGCGCGTATCGAGTACCGACGATAATTCAGCGTAACATCTTGATACCCGGGCGTGTCATAATATTATCGAAAAAGCGATTATATGTAAAATTGTACGTCTTCAAACGTAATCTCCGTTATCGAACCCGACCCCTTCCCGTTTCCACGCGGCGCGATAAGCGCGTCGCGAAATACGAGCTTAAAAGCAATCCGACGCATGGAAATCGATTCCGCGTTGGGAATCGCGCGTAAGCCCCCGTCTCTTCTTCAAGTTATCGCGATTACAATCGTTCAAAGACAAGATTTTAGAACCGGATATATATTGCCCAGAGATATTCCCTTAGCAAATTAAAATCGTTTTGCGATAAAAAATGTTTTTCTCTTCCTCCCATCGTTATATTATCGTCGTTACCGTTATCGATTTTCGATGTTGATTAATAATCATTAGGGGCATGAAGTCTGCTTGAAATTAAGAAAAAAAAAACGCGCAAGACTTACTGCATATTCTTGATAACCAGCTCCGAATCAGTCTAGCATAATCGACGTAATCGATCACCTCGTCGAAGTCGCGCAACAGCGCGCCGTTCTGATCTCGCCGGCACTTCCTCGGAGCATCCTTGCCGCGGGGGTGCAGGTGGTGATGGTGATGGCGGTGGAGAATCTCAGATCGTCCCGAGCGGTTCGTATTCGGGCTCTCCGTCGGATCTTCGTCGATGGCGCTCGTTAGCAAGGAGGTATCAGCGGAGTCTGCTGCCATACCGACGGCACTGCAATGAGACCGGTCGACGATGGGTTTTCCAGCGACCATGACAAAAAGCGGGCCTACGATAACGATAACCGTGCACGTACGGCAATCGACCATGCTAATCGACGCTGTTCAATTTACGTCGTACGAGAAACGCGACGGTGCCGATAATGTCAACGAATTAAGCGAGATGTGTCACGATACACGCCAAGTCGTTGCACAAAGTAATTATACATAATCGCGAACTTATCACTTTTTACTGCACGCAAAACCGCGCGGAAGACAGGTAATCCCGTGGGAAATGCCGTCACCCGGAGAGGATCGTTCTTCGGCTACTCGTACGCACGATTTATCGCCACGAAGATTGATCTCGGCAACTCGTTGCTTGGTTACCGAAAAAGCTCATTTCGAGATGAAGCTCGGATAGGAGATAGCGTACATCAAAGAGATAAAACTTTCCAAGTTAACAGAATTCTGCGAAGTATAAAATGACGCGACAGGCGAAACGGCTGCGGATACCCCCGGGCACGTCATCCCGCATTTAATTCGCGATAACCCAGATTGCAGGCGCGTACAGAAAGAGAGAGAGAGAGAGGGTTATCGCGCGGCGCGCGCGAAAAAAAAATTCGCGTCGCGTTATCGCCGATACTACACGACGCGCGATTGCGCCGCGAAGTATAGATACGTATCTCGTACGATGCCCTCCGACCTCCAGCACCCGGTGGCCGGGGCGGCGCGGATGACGGCGGCGGCGGCGGCAGTGATGTTTTACTATCGGCGCGTAATCAATCGACGCTCTCGCAGTTATCGTTCCACGGTACCGCGTGGCACGACGCGGCACGACGGCCCGCGCCTCTCGCGACGACCAGGCTCTCTGTTTTATCAAAGGCGGTGGAGAGAACCGCGCGAGCAGAGAGAACGGCAGCTGCACGTGCCGCGGCGGACAAGGACGTCCGCCGAGGCTCGCGAGACGCCCGGACGCATCTCAACTTCGGATACATTTCCCGAAGGAGGAGGGACTCTCCTGACAAAGGCCAGCGAGCCAGGAGTGTGCCTTTCGTCATCCGCGCGACGACGAGTCGGGAAAGAGGTATCGATCCGACGAGCCGGGCTCAATAATTCCGACAAGGGTCCCTTCTCTCGCTCCTTTAACGCGGGAACGCAATTTGTTAGGTCCTGCGCGATGCGCACTGCCCGCCGCGCTCTTCTCCTCTTTACCTTGCGGGAGGGAAAAGAGGGGAAGGGGATCCTCCCTCACACGCGGTCACGACGGTTCGGTTCTTGGTCTCCTTGTCCCCTTACCTCGCCATTTCGGCTTAAGAGCATCGATCTTGTCATTAATTCGGCAGATGAGCGCGGAGGCGAAACTGATCTTTGTACCGCATCGAATGTAGAGATTCGATGGCAATGCCAACTATTAGCCAACGATCTCGCGATTACGGAATCGAGATAATTTTTCACAATAAATACAACGATAACGAAAATATATCTATCGGCGTCGAGAGAATTATTTGACACACACTTGTGTATTATTGAGTATAAATATAATTTTTTGTACCTGACTCACGGACCGTTTCACTGTGGCGGAACATGTTGCGATACGTGAGCCCGGTATGCGATCAGCTGTGCCAAAACTCGTAAATATTCACCGACGCACGCATACCTGATTTTATGGCTATTATCGCCGCGCAGCTTGCGGAAAGCTATACACCTCCGTTGCAACACCGCGCGAACGACAGAGCGTAGCGAGAACACGTGCCGCCGGCATCGATCGACTCTGGGCTGCGATTAAACGAATCCGATATCGATAATGAGACGATAGCGATAATGGGACGAGTTCACGAGTGGCCGTGCGTACGTCTCGAGTAAACGCGAGAGTTCACAATTTTTTAATCGGTTATCTAGAAATACTCAGAAAATTGCTGCAGAAAATTCTTCAATATGATCGATAATAATTCTACAATATATACAAGTGACAAAATTGGTGTCACTAAATAATAATTCTAAAAAAGAGAAAGAGAGAACTTTTTCAAAAATATCAAAGTTTTTTCAAAAAATAATAGGAGCTTTAACCCATTTATTCGACCGATTTGGCTTTTTACCATTCACGAACGAAGCTTTCCAAAACCGGGAAATCAGTTTATGCGCACGCGACATTTGGCAAGTAACGGTATCGCTTTTTCGTGCATCAAGGAACGATGATATTGCCTATGATAGTATCTAACGAACTGGTCGTCCGGTCGCATGGACTATCAAGGCCGAGGACGAGATGTCAGAAAGGACAAGTGGTCGTAATACAAGCGGAGGAACGAGTTTCATACTATGGCCAGAAGTTTCCCCGAGATTGCCAGTTACAAGAATAGTACCTCCGGTTTATCCTAGCGCCAACCCCAAAAACCGATATCTCGTCCGGGGCAAAGTTCGAATAAGTTGGTTGCGCAGGAAATGCAAGGGGAAAAAGTTGATACCGCACGAAATCGATATGGATGTCACTGCTGTTTCCCCGGAACAGGTGTCACATATTTCGCGATGAATAAAATCGATTACACCGGCATTTCCGATATCCTTGTGTGTGACCCCCTCCCCCTCCCCCCCGCCTTTAATTTATTTTATATCTCGCGCCTCGTGTCTTCGTGTTTTATACTTGCGCAACTCGAGGCAACTATATAATGCATTTATCGTGTTATGTGTTTTCATTACATCGAATCTTCTGCAAACGCAATACGTCAATTAGTTGTTATTGAATTAGCGAGGCGAGTTTATTTCGCTGTTATCACGCCGCCTGTCAAAACTTTAATTTCCGTAAGAGCGTCGTCGAAAAATTTCTTCTCTCTCTCTCTTTCTCTCTCTTTCTCTGTCTACATTTTCACTCCTAATGTCCCTTCCATGCTGCGGCGTTTACGAACGGTGACGCGAGCTCGCTTGATGCTCGACGTTGAGGGACGTATACACCTCCGGCCTTTTCCCGCCTTTTATTTCAACGACAAAAACACGACGGCATTATCCGTGCGCGCCGACGCGATATCAGGGGAGGAGCCTTGCGCGCAAAAATTTCCCCCATATAATAGCTCGCGTTTACGGTGGATCATAAACGAAAATCCGATAGATCGGAATTTGCGAGAGAGCCGAGTTACGCGTCCTAAGCGAAACGTGATATAAATCGCCATATAAAACACAATCGGAATATACGTTTATCTCTTT